GTGATTTGATCACACTCTATGGGTACATCTACATAGGGATAAAATATCATTAGCTGGCCTGTGTCAGTTTTTAGGTCCATGAAGCAAAGTAGGATGATCTGGGTCAGCAATGGCTGTGCCACAGATCTTTTATCCTTGCATAAATGTGCCCTATATGTACTAGGGATATAAAACACTGATCGATCAGTTAACTGGTTAACTGACTAAATGGGATCCTGGCCCCTAAGTGGGATCTCATCCAAACTCCAGTGCCGGGGCTGGGACCCTGCTGGAAGCAGCTCCAGCCCCAGGAGCTTCCTGGCGACAGGCTCCCAGCAATAGGGCTTGGAGCCTGCCGGCGGTGACAGCCCCAGTCCCAGAGCTGGGGCTGGGGCTGCTGCTGCTGGCTGGCTCCCAATCTCTGCCTGCAGCCAGGGAGCTGGGCTGGGCTCACAACAGGCGGGAGCAGCACCTGCCTCTGCTGGGCCTTGTGAGGTTGGAGCTGCTCCAATCCCTTACTGATTAACTGGTTATCCAGTTAACCATTGATATTCTTAATATGTACCTACATAGGGAGAAGATTTATTTTACTAATGGGTTCTGAAATATGGTGGGCAAAGGCATGAAATGATCTAATGCCTGTAAGCTGAAGCTAACCAAATTTACAGTGGAAATAAATTTTAGGTGTTTAACAGTGAGGTAATTATTAGAACAATTCACTTAGGTATATTGTGGATATTCTGTCACTCAGGCTACGTCTACACTACGGCTTTTGCTGGAAGAGGCAATGCAAATGAAGTGCTGATTAGCATTTTGTCGTGCTTTATTTGCATAATCTATTCCAAGCCGGTTTTGCACAAAAAGGGTTTATTGCGCAAAAACAAGCATTGTGGCCATGGCCGTTTTGCACAAAAATCCCTTTTTCCGCAAGATCCTTATGCTTCCCCAGAGGGTTTGGGTATGTTGATGAGGGGGCAGAGGGCTAGGGAAGGGAGCGGCTGGAGTGCTAGAGGCAGGCTCTAGCCAGGAGACTTACTAGCCAACAGCCAAACCAGCTTTCCTGTCTCTGCCCGGCTAAGGCTTGCAGAGCTTAAAACCTTTCCCTGCCTGCCTGCCCGCCCACCCAGCAATGTGCTTATGTGAATAACAGAGCTGAGGAAAGGGGCTGTGGTTTTTCTTGGCTGCCTGTTATTCAAACAGGCAGCTCTCATTTGCCAGTTTCTGGGCAGAAACCAGCAAATGGGATTGTGCTTGGGGTGGGGGCAGCTCCTGAAACTTTTTCCCCTCCCCTCCAGTTTTGAAACAGAAATGGTGCTCAGCAGCCCTGTTTCTGAGCGGTGTGCAGGACTGTGGGGCAAGCAGAGGAGCCTGTCTGGGGTTCCTCACTGTCTTCATGGGCCAGATCTGGTGCTTCGGTGGGTCAGATTTTGCCCAAGCCTGCAGTAGTGGGTGGGTAGGCTACACAGATAATAGAGACAAGGAAGAGCTAAGTTAGCATGAGGTCAGCAGCTGAAAAGAGTTGCCCAGGCAGCGTAAGCCTGTTGGCTGGATGGATGTCCAGTGCCAGTCTGCACTGAGGACGTTTCTTGTTCCTTTCTGGAAAGGGAGTGGTGAACGAAGGAGGGTTTGTGTGGGACAGGCGGAGGTTATGGAGCCTGAGGTACTGAAGAGGACCGTGAGGAACAAACACTGTTCTCCAAAGACTTGCATGCTGGATATTGCCAGCTCACTACATCCAAGCCTTTGGAGAATGGTGGTCTTACCCCTCTCTCATTTGTGGATGGTACTCTGCTCTGGGCCAGTGGTTTTCTCCCTTTTGTTGTTCAGGCCTGCTAGTCTTTAAGGGTCATTAGTATTCTGGAAAGGGCTGTCATCAATAACTGCTGGTCACTCTGGAAGTTGCTTCCCTCTCTGGGATGCCAAGTTCTCCCTTGGATTGCTTTGTTCTCTGAGAATCCTTGTTGGGCAGGAGGCCCAGGATCCACTCTTTAACCCAGTGGTTTTCAATCAAAGGGTTGTGCCCCAGTACTGGGTCATGGAATGTCACACACTGGGTCTCGTTGCTGCAGGGGGGTGCGGTGACCAGTGGAAGTGCTAAGGCAGCTCCCTTCTTGTCCTGGTGCCACAGACTATACAACAGGCCTGGCTTCTAGGTGGGGGACGGGGAAAGCGAGCATTCATCGCTCCATGCACTGCCCCTACTCCGAGCACTAGCTCCGCATTTCCATTGGCTGGGAACCTGCTGCTGGCTGCTTCGGTGGCACAGCATGGTCTGCGGTGCCAGGAGAAGCAGGAACCCTGTCTTAGTACCCCGCTGCACTGCTGACCAGGAGCTGCTCAAGGTAAGTCCCTTTTGCCCAGCCTTAAACCCCTTTCCTCCCCAATGCTCCCTTTTATACCTCAAAGCTCACATCTTCAGCCCCACCTCAGAGTCCACATTCCAATCAAATTATGTCAGGTCACGGGCATCAACAATTTTCTTCAACTGGGTCATGAGGAAGTTTGAAACCACCACTTTAAACAATCTGTAGCATTTAAATCAGTGTAACTGTAGGGATGAAGCTTCAGAGGTAGCCAAGTTAGTCTGTACAGGATGAACTTAAAAAACAACAAATAGTCTGGTAGCACTTTATAGACTAACAGAACATGTAGGTGGTATCATGAGCTTTCATGGGCACAGCCCACTTCTTCAGATGACAAGCAGGATTTGGCCCTGTATCACAGGTGGAACTAGAATTAGAACTCCTGAGTTTCTGGCTTCTAGTCACATGCTCAGCCTGCTGTTAGGTTGCAGAGCTCCTGTTCCTCTTCTCCAAAACTCATTGGTCCTCTGTTAAATCCCTTCCACAAACAAACCTCAGCAGGGGTGAATGCCACAACTATTCCTGAAACAAAATACAGGACTATGTAGCACTTTAAAGACTAACAAGATGGTTTATTAGATGATGAGCTTTCGTGGGCCAGACCCACTTCCTCAGATCAAATAGTGGAAGAAAATAGTCACAACCATATATACCAAAGGATACAATTTAAAAAAATGAACACATATGAAAAGGACAAATCAAATTCCAGAACAGAAGGGGGATGGGGAGGGGGAGAAGGTAAATGTCTGTGAGCTAATGATATTAGAGGTGATAATTGGGGAAGCTATCTTTGTAATGGGTAAGGTAATTAGATTCTTTATTCAGACCCAGGTGTAAAGTGTTGAATTTAAGCATGAATAACAGTTCAGAGGATTCTCTTTCAAGTGAAGTCTCAAAAGGCTTTTGAAGCAGGATGCAGATAATTAAGTCATTGAGTAGCACTTTAAAGACTAACAAGATGGTTTATTAGATGATGAGCTTTCATGGGCCAGACCCACTTCCTCAGATCAAACAGTGGAAGAAAATAGTCACAGCCATATATACCAAAGGATATCACGAAAGCTCATCATCTAATAAACCATCTTGTTAGTCTTTAAAGTGCTACATAGTCCTGTATTTTGTTTCAGCTACACCAGACTAACATGGCTACATTTCTATCACAACTATTCCTGTGGAGGTGATATAACAGCTAGCTACAGGTGACTTGGCTTCCCTGCTGGCTTTGTTTTGTTTGGCGCTACTAAATAATTTTAAAAAATCCAAATATTATGAATAAAATGAAGGCTCCTTCATTACTTACTGTTAATACATCGTTGTAAGATTTAAAGTGCTTTAAGAATGCTTTATTAGTTCAGTAATATCTGATCAGCTTCCCCTGAGCTACATGGACAATTAATTATTGCATGCCTTTATTGTCTTGAGTATCTTTTTCCCCTCTTCCCCGCCCCCAATATTTTTCAATAATAAGACTCAAACACTGGACAAAGAGAGAGAGAGTTTATTTTCATTTCTTCGAAGGGCCGTTCCCAAAAAAATCCCAATCAGAATTTTGAGAGCTCTGCGTTCTTTGTTTCCCTTCTTTTTGCATATTTCCCCTAAGCGTGATTTTGGGGGGAGGGAGGTGTTACAGTAAGAACCATATCTAGAAATTCTGCTCCTGAATAACTGCTTATTCTGTACTCTTTGGATGCACAGTGGACAAAAAAACATAGCATATCACAAACCTAGCTTGCATAACAGGGCACAATGGATACTTTGTTTTCTGCTGAGTGGAGGAAAATGTTTTATGTTAATAAAAGTTTGCATTGCAGTTCTCTGCATTTTGTCCAAAGACAGAAATCCAAGGATCTAATGGAAGATTTTTAAATGATCCCTTTCTGTTCTTTATTTTACTTTAATAGGATGTTTCCATTGTCTTTTAGTAGGAGTTAGATAAGGCCCATAAAGGAACACTGTAACACTAGTTGTCTTACCTTAATTTCAAAGAAGAAGAATCTCTTGCATTACATTTAGAGGTGGGGAAAAAACACATGACATGTGACTAATATTTTGTTACTGAGGTTACGTCTATACTGCAGCCTTCTTCCGCAAAAGTTTATGCAAATGAAGCGTGGAGTAGAATTAGCAGCTGTTTTTGCACAAGAGGCTTTTGCGCAAAAAGGAGTTGTGTAGACTGACAAAATTAGGAAGAATGGCTCTTGCGCAAGATGGGGATTTGGGGCATAAAAGAGCTGTCTACACAGTTCCTTTTTGCACGAAAGCCTCTTGTGCAAAAACGGCTGCTAATTAATTATGCAAATGAAGCACAGTAATATTCTACTCCGCGCTTCATTTGCATAAGCTTTTGCGGAAGAAGGCTGCAGTATACATGTAGCCTGAGGCTCCAAGTTTTTCACCCTTGCTTAGATTCCACCCTTGCTTCAGAATTAGGCTCTGGAATCTAATTCCGCCATTTAAATTATCTTTGACAAAATTACATTTTTGGGGCCTAAACTGTTTGACTGTTTTTTGTTTGGTGGGGGCTTTTTTTGCTTTCAGAGTGTACATTTTAATAATTACCATCAAGGTATTTGGATTAATCTTGGTTAATTGAGAAGAGAAATCTAAGTGTATACTAATAAACTTTTAATGTTAAGGCTCACTCTTTTTCTCTTGCAGTGGAATCTGGTATGTGATGATGACTGGAAAGCTCCCTTAACTGCCTCCTTGTTTTTTGTGGGTGTACTGGTTGGATCCTTCATATCAGGACAGCTCTCAGACAAGTAAAGTATATACACCAAAACATCTAGCTCTCTATCTTATTTTCTAAAAGCACACTAAAAAAGTAAAGTGAGCCAGGGGTGAATGCCTGACCTGTTCATAGTGTAGCAAAGTTAATATTATCTTAGGTTGGGCCTATACTGGTGACAAATGGTCACCAAAACACAGTGTTTGTAGTGCTGATATTAGCAACAACGAGAGCACTAATGTGAATTGACTCCTGGCATTTTTACCCGCAGACTATCTAATGTCAGTGTAGACAGTGCCTTAGCCTAGTATAAAATCAACTGCCACAATCAAAGCAAAATACTATTATGGGGCTTTTTTTCCCCAAAAGCATTTTTTCTATATTGCAAGCTTTTTGCATCTTTTTTTTATTTATATATATACAGGGCTCGACAAATAATGCAATCTACTCGCCCGAGGCAAGTAGATTGCAACCCGGAAGAGCCGGGTTTGGGCGATCTGCACATGCATAGAGCCATCTGCGCATGCGCAGATCGCCGGACAGCATGGCTGGTGAGCGGGGCTCGCTGCAGTTCAGCGAGCCCTGTGTATGTATGTGTGTGTATATATATATATATATATATATATATATTTGCATCTACAAATGAAAACAGGCATAAATCGTTTTTGGATAGTTTACATAGCACTTAGACCTCTCACTGCCTGATGTGTTGGGGAAAAATTACAGGCTGCTTCTGAAAAAAAAAATCAGTCCCAGTTTGTAGTGTTTAATTTAATGTGGACTATCTTTTGGCTACTTACCCTAAAGTGTGTTACTTTCTCTACGTCAGCTCCCTTTGCACAAATTTTCATAGATTCTGTTGTACCCTGAGTGGTCAAATTCAAGGTCTAACTCCAGTGGTTTGTGTTTTTGGAAGCTGGAAAATATGAGTACTGTTCACCAATTTCCACTAAACTGGCTTTTTGACCCAGCTGCTAGAACTATGGGTTATCCTGTTTATCAGCGACAAAGTGAAAACAAAATGGAAGCATTCTTGTATTTCAAGACTTCAAAAATCTCAGGGTTTCAGTATCTTGCATTTCTAACCATCTGGATGTCTAATGTGCAATATATTATATGGCATCTACCCTTCTACTTTTCTGATTGAATAGTAGTACTCATACATATTTAATATCTGGTCTTTTGGGGCTAAGTCCTAAAGTTCTTACTTTGAGGAAGCACCTGCAAAGATTTAATAGTTTACCTAAGTAAGGTTTTCAGAATCCAGCCCTCTCTTCTTACAGCAGGGAGGGACCTCTGTTGCAGGGCTGTCTCGGAGTGTTCTTTCCTGCACTATTATGATATGTCTACACCAGGGCTGAGCAAAATATGGCCTGGGGGCCGGATCCAGCTCACAGACCAAACTGCCAGGAACCTTGGGCACAGACAGCTGCTGTGGTTACTTTAAAACACAGTCCCTGCAGTTTTCTGTTCTGCAGGGAGGGGGAGTCTTCATGCAATCTTCCCCGCCCCCAGCCCAATCCTCAGCTCCTGTTGGCCAGGAACAACCAGCCAATAAGAACTGACTTCAGCCAATCTCTCAGCTTCTATTGGCTGGGAACAGCTAGACAATTGGAACTGAGAGATTGGCCTGAAAGACTGGGGCAGCACAAGCCTCTTCCCCCACCTGGAGTTGAGAGCCATGTGGTGGGAATAACTTGTATTTTCAAGCACGCTGAGGCTGCAGCCGGCAGGGATCGCAGCCTGCCGTGGGGGTGTGCAAACGTGCTGGCCAGGAGACACTTAAGTAAACTCCTCCCAGCCAGCGTCTAGCACCCCAATTCCCTCCCCTAGATCACCATCCAAACCCTCAGCTCCCCGTGCCCCAGGTGAAAACTCCCTCCCAGACCCTGTACCTCCTCCTATACCCCTCCCCCAGGCCAGAATCCTCTCCTGCACCCACACTTCTTCCCTGACTCTACACCCCATTCCCCTGACCCTGGTCACAACACCCTCGTCCACTTGCACACCTTCTCAGACCCCAAACTGTCTCCTAAACCCCAGTGCCTTACCCCATCAGCGGTGGCACTAGACTAGCTGCCAGCAACTGGTGCCCTAGGTGAACCATGCAATCGGTGACCCCATCTCCAAACCCCTCAATGATATTGCGCCACCATTTGGCGCCCCATTTAATTGGCACCCTAGGCGACCGCTTTATATGAATGGGCCACCCCTGCCGTCTACTCTTCTGCATCCAACCTAGACCCTTCACTCCCTCCACAGAAAAGAGCGGCCCTGGACCACTTACCAAAACCTTGGAGTGCCCCCCCACCACCACCAATAATTATTGCCTACCCCTGGTCTATGCTGTGAGAAAACCCCACTTCATCAAGTCTCAGAGTCAGGTCCATAGGGCTTCAAGTGTGGGGTTAAAAATAGCAGGGTAGACCTTTGGACTTGGGATGGAGCCCAAGCTCTGAGACCCTCCCCACTTGTGTTGTCTTAGCATATGTTAACAGTGCAGTTAGGCACCTATAGCAAGTCCGTGCCAGCTGACCCAGGATAAGGGGTTAAGTGCAGTGTGGGCAGGAGCGGCCCGTGAGGCTAGGCAAACTAGGCAGTTGTCTAGGGCGCTGCTGGCCCAGGCGCCGATGATGACGTCACGGCCATTGACGGCTGTGCAGGCGGGGGCGCCGATCTGCCTGGGGCGCCAGCTGCCGCAGCCAGCCTCGGGCCACTCCTGAGTGTGGGTGTTCTGGCTCAGGCTGGAACTTTCTCACATCACAGGGTTTGGGATCCCAGGCTCCAGCCTGAGCCATAACATCCACACCACAATTAAACAGTCCTTTAGCCCAGAGGTGGGGAACCGAAGGCCTGGGGGCTGAAGGTGGCCCCTGGCTTGCCTGAATCTGGCTCTCAAGGCTCAGGGCTCCCCTCTGGCGCAGCCGTCCACCATCGCTGCCATCTTCCCACAGGGCTGGAGCACACTAAATCTACTAGCCTAGGCTCCACTGGCACTGGTGCGTGTGGGGAATGTGGGGAATGTCTTTCTGTTTCTCAACTGGAGGCCACGTCAGTGAGGATTTTGGTTTGTTTGTTTGCTTCTCGTGTGCGGCTCTCAACTAATATTTCTGTGGGTCAGTGGCTCCCCACCCAAAAACTGGTTCCCCACTCCTGCTTTAGCCTGAGCCCTCTGAGCCTGAGTCAGCTGGCGTGAGCCAGCTTTGGGTTTCTAATTGCAGTGTAGGCACACCCTCAGAGTCTCAACTCCAGCATGAGTCTGAACAGCAGCACTGCAATTTTAAAGCCCTGCAGCTTGAGACTGACTCAGCTGATCTAGGCCATCAGCAGCCCTTCTGCGTGGTGTTTATTGTATTGTAGACATATCTTTAGGTTATGACAATCTTGAAGCTAGATTCATTTTCCTTGCTACCTTAATGATTCCTGAGGAAACATTGCTGCGGAGCCCACTGTATAGTTACAGAGTATCTCTTCCAAATGTGAATGCAGCTATTGTACAGATCAGGCACAGTGGACAACCACACGCTGTCCTAAGAGAAACTGGTTTGGTACCATTTTGCTCCGGATTTCTCTGTTACAATGTTTTACACTCTAGCACATGGGAAGGCAGGATACGGCCCACAGGCCAGATTTGGCCCATCAAGTCTTTTAACCCAGCTTGTGGCCTGCCTCTGTGGCAGGAAGCAGTACCGCTCAAAGTGGTTGCCCAGTGGGAGCCGAGAGATTTTGCTGGGGGTGGGGCAACACACAAAGCCTCCCCCTTCAGCACAGAGCCTGCTGAGAGTACTGCTGGCCAGGAGTTGCTTAGGTAAGCGCCTCCTGGCCAGAGCTTGCCTTAGGCACCCCGTCCCTTCCCATACCCCAGCTCCCTCCCAGACCCTGCCTATATCTCTCCCCCAGGCCAGAATCCTCTCCTGCACCCATACCCTTTCTCAGACTGTGCACCCCAAACCTCTGCACCGGTTCCCTGCATGAAAGAGGGAAGCTAAGGCAACTGCTGATATTTACATAGCTAGACCTGGATGTGTAAGTGGGGGTCAAAGCTTTACAAGAGGCTGGGACTAAAACTCCTTATTACAATGCCTTACTACTGCTAGACTTGTAGTGCCTGATTCTGACACCTTTACGTTGACTAGTTCTCTGCTCCATGAGTAGCCTCATTGGAAATGAAATTAGGTTGCTCATTCACTGCTCTCTGTAACTGAGTAAGGTTTGCAGAGTGGGCCCTTAATAGCTATAGATTTGCACAGGGTCAGGGTTTTTCTCCTGGGAAGACTCCACTTTGCTGCCTTATGTTTATTGTCCCACTCAGGAGCATGGAAGAATCACTGAGACCTCATCTTTTGCATTTTGGCTATCATTCACTTTCTCGGTGTTTGCATTTGTCCATGCTCATTCCAACATCCCCACAGAAAGACCCTCTCGCCTCAGCTTCAGAAAAGTCTCTTAGGGTAAAAATGGCAGCGTGGCCCTGGCAGCACAGGCAACAGCTTGGGCTAGCTGTCTCATCTGTTGCCGCAGAGTACTCACCCAAGACATGGTCAGTGCTGCCACAACCACACTGCTGTTTTTAGCATGCGAGCCTGAGCAGAGCTATCATGTGCCTGTCTGTCCATTCTGAGACGCATGTTCCTAGTTGCAGTGCAGACATACCCTTAATTGCGGAACTTAAGCTATTCTTCTACTAATGGCTCTGGAACACTTGTTTACCTGTGCTGCTTTCTGAGACTTTTCTCTTCATTAGAGAGACTTCCTATCTGTTACTTTCATGACAGTTATTTTTTTTCTGTAACCCTCTCATTTTTGTCTTTGTCCACCAAAGGTTTGGCAGGAAGAAAGTTCTGTTTGCGACCATGGGGGTGCAAACCGGCTTCAGCTTCCTGCAGGTCTTCTCTACCAGCTGGGAGATGTTTTCAGTGCTCTTTGTCATAGTCGGCATGGGACAGATCTCTAACTATGTGGCAGCTTTTGTACTTGGTATGGGAGTTTCTGTTATGCATAGCACATTTTCAATGTTATTGTCCCCTCACCCTGGCCCACCCTCATTTACTAATGGCTTATTTTGGACAGTGTTTCCATGTGGCACTGTTAATAACTCAACCTTATCAGCCATGGCTAACTTTTCTAGTCCGTTAGTCCATTTAAAAAATGTTCTTTTAGTAAAATAGCAACACATAAAATAAAATGTTCTGTTTACCGAATTCTACAGTGAGCAAAGGGAGTAAATCAGAATAAGCTTTTGTCTGAAGCAAGAGCTCGCCAGTGAGAAGATGCAGTGAGATGCACTCATAGTCATGTTGATAGATGTGTAGGATGAGTTGTGCCCAGTTGCTCTTGTGAACTGAAGTTTGGATCCAAACACATGCAAATTGTACATGTGATACTATCATCTGTAACTGTGATCAACATGTAAGCATGACTTAAAACTTCATAAAACAGTCTGTGATGAAAGTTAAAACTGTCACATGGATTCTGTTATTGCACCAATTCTGTTTTAGCTAAGCGAAAGTGTCTGATTATAGGACAAGTAAGACCATGAATATGTTAAAGAGAGCTCTCTGAATGATTTGATTAAAGCAAATTCACTGTCTAGAGCTTTGAATTCTTTGTGGCCATAACAAAGCCCAGAGCAGCTTTGAACACAATATTTAGGTAACAGCTACAGAAGGCATTAAACATGGTTTGTTGGTGTAGGTTTTACCAGACCTAGTTCCTTTTGTTGTGGAGATTTTTGGAGTCCAGAAGTCTTACACTCATTGAGTTAGAACAGTTCTAGTGTCTAATCTTATCATGTGCATTCATAAAAAATACTCCCTGTGGTGCAGTATCAGGCCCTAAGATAGATCTGGTAGCATCTCTTTAAAACAGGAAAAAAACCAACTAATATATTACCAACATTTGTATTATGTGTGAGGAACAGTTTTGCTAAAAGTAATGTCAGTTCTTGTATACAGTAGTGATAAAATATTTGGCTACTATTATTTGTTAAATTCAAATGCTAATCATTACTCTCTTGTTTTGAACAGGCACAGAAATTCTTGGCAAAACAGTTCGTATTATATTCTGCACATTAGGCGTTTGCATATTTTATGCAATTGGCTACATGTTGCTGCCACTGTTTGCTTACTTCATCAGAGACTGGCGGATGCTGCTTCTGGCTCTTACTTTACCTGGGCTACTTTGCATTCCACTGTGGTGGTGAGTGTAACTACATTAAAATTTGTTTGGCTTCAGAAAGTATGACCTGTAGTTCAGCTGTTTCCAACCACTGGTCTGGTCTGGTCTGGTAAGCTATGAATCCCTGTCTGACAAGCTGCCACATGTTGCCAGGCCATACCCCCAGCATTTATTTAGTCCTGCCCAGTGTGAATAGGGTGGCTGGTAGCTGGGACCATGGTGAGGCTGTCCCTATTGGGGGCTACAATTGCAGCTCTGGTAATCACTACACGGCCCAGCTGGTGGGGCCCAACTGCCCTGCGTACAATGGCTGACCCAGGCGACAGGGCCAAGTGCCCCATGCACAGCAGGAGCCCTGACTCCAGAAGGAGCTGCACAGGGCGGGTGGTGAGGGAAGCCCTGAGAAGCCCTGAGCCCTTGCAGAAGCCACATGCAGGGTGAGGGGCAGCAGGCGGCCTCAGGTAACTGAAAGGGCCCCATAAATTGAAAGCATAGCCCTTTGAGCGTCTCATCTCAAAACAAAACACAGCTAGGATTGCCAAATACCTTCATGAAAAATCCCAAACGTATCAGGGAAAAAAATTGGTTGGGGGGGGGAGGAAGGTGGACGGGGGCGGGGTATTTTCTGGGTTTTTTTAACCGGACAGAAGACACATCGCTTCCCATTCACGTATTAGGGAAAAAAATTGGTTGGGGGGGGGTATTTTCTGGGGTTTTTTTAACCGGACAGAAGACACATCGCTTCCCATTCACGTATTAGGGAAAAAAATTGGTTGGGGGGGGGTATTTTCTGGGGTTTTTTTAACCGGACAGAAGACACATCGCTTCCCATTCACGTATTAGGGAAAAAAATTGGTTGGGGGGGGGTATTTTCTGGGGTTTTTTTAACCGGACAGAAGACACATCGCTTCCCATTCACGTATTAGGGAAAAAAATTGGTTGGGGGGGGGTATTTTCTGGGGTTCACTCCTCAGGTCCATTCAGACTAATTATTCCCTAGTGCCTCCTGAGGCTCTAAATCAAGGTAGCATGTCTACATTAGGAAAGCTTGCCTTAGACTAATTTTAAGGTTTCCCTGTAGAATAGACGTGCTGTTTTGAAGTAAGCTATTTCAGAGTATTTCTTCTGGAATAGCTTATAAGTGTGCAGTGTAGACATACCCTAAGAGTGACACAGAAACACCCAAGTCCTACCTACACTTAAAGCTTCCACCAGTAGCAGTGCATCAGTGGAGACTTAGGCCTAGTCTACAGTACAGCGGAAAGTCAAATTCCGATATATAACTTCAGCTACGTTAATTACAAGACCCGCTAAATCAAACCCCAGATCGACTGTGGCAGTGTCCATCTTCTGCATAGATTAACATAGACCTGTGGTTGAAGGGGTCTGCAAAAAGTCGCTATGAAAATAAAATTTCAAATCCTTGAAAGGCATTCTGTTTTTCTGATCAATCAAAAGCGTGTAACTATCCCCACCTATAGGTCAAAACCCAACAGTGTTGTCATTACCATAGAAACCTATCATGTCCTTTCTCAAGCACAGGCAACATTATAGCTCGATTCTGTTCAGTCAATTTTCAGACTAAGACTTCTCTGACTAGGAACTGCAGACCATAAGTTCAATATTTAAATTTTTTAGGGATCTGCAAATGAAAAAAAGGTTGACAATAATAGAAATAGACAGAACCTATAGAAATAACCTTAGTGCCAACATCTTTGGCCTATTTCCAAAACCTTACTTAAGAACCTTTGATAATATTAATTAATGAGGATGGCTCAGTTGTTGGCATTATCATGAAGCTAGAGGAAATTTGTTGCATTTTTATTTTCTGACAGGTAAGTTTTTGTTCTCTTTGCACTTTGGTTAATCCCATATCTTTTTTAGCTTTTGCTAGAAATCCATCACTGTAGGGTCTGTGCATTCTAATGTCTTCTCTCCTATATATGGTCTTATTTAGTGATGCCCAGTACTTTTCAGCCATATCTGTATATATGTATGTGTAACTGCTAGCACATTTTATAGAATTTATCTTCCTGATTGCCCCACAAATCAGGCAGATAAATGCCAAAGAGGTATAAAAGTTACAAGGTATCAGATGCAAAATTAGCGGCCAGATTGAGGCTGTTTTACAAAAAGCGTTTGTGTATATTGAATCTCAAAGCCTTTGCCCACACAGTTGGATAAAGTTCTAAACTGGTTTCCAGTGCTTTTTGGAAAAACCACAGGTTTCAGGATTCTGACTCTTAACAGTCCTGTCTCTGTGGTTTTGTTCGGTGTTTTCCCCCTTGGGCCCCCAGGTTTAACTTGTTTATCTTTCTTTGAATTTTGTTTGGGATATTCTACACATACTATGTTTATCTTTGTTCATGAATGGCGTATACTAAAGTAAATATTTGCTCATCAGTTTTAAATCTGTATGCAGTATTATCAGTCAAATAGCTATAGAAAAGGACACAATTCTTCTGGAACCAAGACAAAATAAAAACTCAATCTATGTGTGGTCTTTGCAGCTGCAGTTTACAGGACACTATCAGATCAAGTTTTATCCAGTATTTAGATTTTTTTTTTTTAATTACAGTTCTAGAAATGCTTCCATCAGATTGAACAAATGGTTCAAAACAAAGAAGCTTAACAGAATATATTGTCTTTCTCCTCTACGTTTGCAGCCTGAATAATGCAGCACTGTGCTAGTTTGTGAGAACCAAATATTGACGTTGACCACACTGCAGTTTCAAAATTAGGAACAGAATTAGAGCTTTAACAATTCACTTTTAATAAACACAACTAGTTTGTATTCTAAGAAGGAAAATATTTTTCTGAGGACTATTCTTTCATCACTTCTGCTGTCAGGCAAACAAGGAATAAACAGCAAGCCATGTTAGGTTCAGATCCACTAGAAACAATGAGTCATCTCCTGGCACCTGACTGCATCTACTTTGCAGTAGGTTACGCTGGGGGCTGATCAGGGGAGGAGAGTAGAAAGTTGGTGTAGCTACTTCCCAGTCAAACCCTCCTCCACCCAGAATCCTGTGGCTGGGTTTTGAAAGGCAGGCTCTAGCCTAGCATTTTCGAGAGAAGGGAATGATTTGCTCCTGTTCCCACTGATATTTCACTGAAAGTATAATCAGACTAAGAAAGGCAGAACTAGGATGTTAAGTAGCATGTAATTGACTAATCAAATAATCGATGCATTTTTGCATTGACTATTCAATTAGTTGATAGGGTGGTGCTGCCCCTTTGAAATACTGGGTGGTATTTTAAAGGGGCATCTCCAGCATCGCTTGCATTCCGGGATCAGCTGGGACTCCCCATCTGACCCAGGCTCCACGCGGCGCTGCTACTTTGAAACAATGGGCAGTGCCGTACAGAGCCTGGGATGTTGATCCCCAGCTCTGTACGGCGCTACTTCTTTGAAACGCCACCGCAGTGTTTCAAAGCGGCAGCGCTGTGTGGACCCCGGGATTAGTTGTGGAGTCCACAGCTGAGCCCCAACTCCATGCTCTTAGTATCTCCGGATTTACACTGATAAAATTATGCTAGCTTCATGCCAGTTGCTGAGATTGGAATCTGGTCTATAAGGGTGCATCTACACAGCACGGTTATTTAGAAATAATTGACGTTATTTTAAAATAACAGTGCAAGTGTCTATATGGCAATTCTGTTATTTTGAAATAAATTCAAAATAACGGACGGCTTATTCCAGCTTCTGTAAACCTCATTCCACAAGGAATCATGCCTATTCCAAAATAGCTATTTCAAAATAGCTGCAGTGTGGATGCTCCACTGTTGCTATTTCGAAATTGCCACTCCTCAGGTCCATTCAGACTAATTATTCCCTAGTGCCTCCTGAGGCTCTAAATCAAGGTAGCATGTCTACATTAGGAAAGCTTGCCTTAGACTAATTTTAAGGTTTCCCTGTAGAATAGACGTGCTGTTTTGAAGTAAGCTATTTCAGAGTATTTCTTCTGGAATAGCTTATAAGTGTGCAGTGTAGACATACCCTAAGAGTGACACAGAAACACCCAAGTCCTACCTACACTTAAAGCTTCCACCAGTAGCAGTGCATCAGTGGAGACTTAGGCCTAGTCTACAGTACAGCGGAAAGTCAAATTCCGATATATAACTTCAGCTACGTTAATTACAAGACCCGCTAAATCAAACCCCAGATCGACTGTGGCAGTGTCCATCTTCTGCATAGATTAACATAGACCTGTGGTTGAAGGGGTCTGCAAAAAGTCGCTATGAAAATAAAATTTCAAATCCTTGAAAGGCATTCTGTTTTTCTGATCAATCAAAAGCGTGTAACTATCCCCACCTATAGGTCAAAACCCAACAGTGTTGTCATTACCATAGAAACCTATCATGTCCTTTCTCAAGCACAGGCAACATTATAGCTCGATTCTGTTCAGTCAATTTTCAGACTAAGACTTCTCTGACTAGGAACTGCAGACCATAAGTTCAATATTTAAATTTTTTAGGGATCTGCAAATGAAAAAAAGGTTGACAATAATAGAAATAGACAGAACCTATAGAAATAACCTTAGTGCCAACATCTTTGGCCTATTTCCAAAACCTTACTTAAGAACCTTTGATAATATTAATTAATGAGGATGGCTCAGTTGTTGGCATTATCATGAAGCTAGAGGAAATTTGTTGCATTTTTATTTTCTGACAGGTAAGTTTTTGTTCTCTTTGCACTTTGGTTAATCCCATATCTTTTTTAGCTTTTGCTAGAAATCCATCACTGTAGGGTCTGTGCATTCTAATGTCTTCTCTCCTATATATGGTCTTATTTAGTGATGCCCAGTACTTTTCAGCCATATCTGTATATATGTATGTGTAACTGCTAGCACATTTTATAGAATTTATCTTCCTGATTGCCCCACAAATCAGGCAGATAAATGCCAAAGAGGTATAAAAGTTACAAGGTATCAGATGCAAAATTAGCGGCCAGATTGAGGCTGTTTTACAAAAAGCGTTTGTGTATATTGAATCTCAAAGCCTTTGCCCACACAGTTGGATAAAGTTCTAAACTGGTTTCCAGTGCTTTTTGGAAAAACCACAGGTTTCAGGATTCTGACTCTTAACAGTCCTGTCTCTGTGGTTTTGTTCGGTGTTTTCCCCCTTGGGCCCCCAGGTTTAACTTGTTTATCTTTCTTTGAATTTTGTTTGGGATATTCTACACATACTATGTTTATCTTTGTTCATGAATGGCGTATACTAAAGTAAATATTTGCTCATCAGTTTTAAATCTGTATGCAGTATTATCAGTCAAATAGCTATAGAAAAGGACACAATTCTTCTGGAACCAAGACAAAATAAAAACTCAATCTATGTGTGGTCTTTGCAGCTGCAGTTTACAGGACACTATCAGATCAAGTTTTATCCAGTATTTAGATTTTTTTTTTTTAATTACAGTTCTAGAAATGCTTCCATCAGATTGAACAAATGGTTCAAAACAAAGAAGCTTAACAGAATATATTGTCTTTCTCCTCTACGTTTGCAGCCTGAATAATGCAGCACTGTGCTAGTTTGTGAGAACCAAATATTGACGTTGACCACACTGCAGTTTCAAAATTAGGAACAGAATTAGAGCTTTAACAATTCACTTTTAATAAACACAACTAGTTTGTATTCTAAGAAGGAAAATATTTTTCTGAGGACTATTCTTTCATCACTTCTGCTGTCAGGCAAACAAGGAATAAACAGCAAGCCATGTTAGGTTCAGATCCACTAGAAACAATGAGTCATCTCCTGGCACCTGACTGCATCTACTTTGCAGTAGGTTACGCTGGGGGCTGATCAGGGGAGGAGAGTAGAAAGTTGGTGTAGCTACTTCCCAGTCAAACCCTCCTCCACCCAGAATCCTGTGGCTGGGTTTTGAAAGGCAGGCTCTAGCCTAGCATTTTCGAGAGAAGGGAATGATTTGCTCCTGTTCCCACTGATATTTCACTGAAAGTATAATCAGACTAAGAAAGGCAGAACTAGGATGTTAAGTAGCATGTAATTGACTAATCAAATAATCGATGCATTTTTGCATTGACTATTCAATTAGTTGATAGGGTGGTGCTGCCCCTTTGAAATACTGGGTGGTATTTTAAAGGGGCATCTCCAGCATCGCTTGCATTCCGGGATCAGCTGGGACTCCCCATCTGACCCAGGCTCCACGCGGCGCTGCTACTTTGAAACAATGGGCAGTGCCGTACAGAGCCTGGGATGTTGATCCCCAGCTCTGTACGGCGCTACTTCTTTGAAACGCCACCGCAGTGTTTCAAAGCGGCAGCGCTGTGTGGACCCCGGGATTAGTTGTGGAGTCCACAGCTGAGCCCCAACTCCATGCGGCACTGCCCCTTTGAAATTCCACGGTGGCGTTTCAAAGCAACAGCGCTGTCGCTTTGAAGTACCCCATTTTTCTTCCCCCCTCCCCCTTGCTGCCTCTATCTGATAGAAGGGCGGGGAAGCGACTAGTCAACTATCCTGTCAACTATCCGATAAGCATTTGCTTATCAGATAGTCAACTAGTCCTTAACATCCGTAGGCAGAACTAGAGATCACTCGTACCTGGGAGATGAGCTGGTATTGAGGTTGGTGGAACATTAGTCAGAGAAAGACTCGACACAATCTGATTACAGAATTTTCCTCCACTGAATACTATTTTTATGGAACACAATAAGTCTAAATAGTCCACAAGGTGGAGCTACTTCTTTTCTTTGGTAGAAGGAAGTACAGTATTATAATTCAGTCTACTTTCTCTTGTGAAGCCAACTTGTGAGTATAGGTAGCTCATCCTATAGTGACATCTGCAGTTATTAAGTTATATGGATTACTGTTCAGATGTTACCCATCCACAGCACATAAGAACAGCCATACTGGGTCAGACCAAAGGTTCATCTAACTCAGTATCCGGTCTTCCAACAGTGGCCGATGCCAGATGTCCCAGAGGGAGGGAACAGAACAGGGAATCATCAAGCAATCCCTCTCCCATCACCATTCTCCGCCTTTGACGGAGACTAGGGACACCATTCCTACCCATTCTGGCTAATGGCCATTGATGGACCTAACCTCCATGAATCTATCTAGTTCTTTCTTGAACCCTGTTAAAGAAAGGTTGTTTGTTTTAAACCTGATGCTTATTAATTTCATTTGGTGACCCCTGGTTCTTATGTTATGGGAACAAGTAAATAATTTTTCTTTATTCACTTTTTCTTCGCCAGTCATGATTTTATAGACCTCTATCATATCCCCTCCTTAGTCTCCCCTTTTCTAAGCTGAACAGTCCCAGTCTTTTTAATTTCTTTTCATATGGGACCCGTTCCAAACCCCTAACAATTTATGTTGTCCTTTTCTAATGCCAATATATCTTTTTTGAGATGAGGCGACCACATTTGTACGCAGTATTCAAGATGTGGGCCTACCATGGTTTTGTGTAGAAGCAATAAGTGTATGTCTACACTACAAAGTTAATTCGAACTAATGGACGTTAGTCCGAATTAACTTTGATAGGTGCTACACTAGTGCTCCGCTAGTTCGAACTTAATTCAAACTAGCGGAGCGCTTAGTTTGAACTAGGTAAACCTCATTCTACGAAGACTAAGCCTAGTTCGAACTTACTAGTTCGAATTAAGGGGCTACACACCCCTTAATTCGAACTAGTAAGTTCGAACTAGGCTTAGTCTTCGTAGAATGAGGTTTACCTAGTTCAAACTAAGCGCTCCGCTAGTTTGAATTAAGTTCGAACTAGCGGAGCACTAGTGTAGCACCTATCAAAGTTAATTCGGACTAACGTCCATTAGTTCGAATTAACTTTGTAGTGTAGACATACACTTATTGCTTCTACACAAAACCATGGTAGGTCCACATCTTGAATACTGCGTACAAATGTGGTCGCCTCATCTCAAAAAAGATATATTGGCATTAGAAAAGGACAACATAAATTGTTAGGGGTTTGGAACGGGTCCCATATGAAGAGAGGCTAAAGAGACTGGGACTTTTCAGTTTAGAAAAGAGGAGACTGAGGGGGGATAGGATAGAGGCCTATAAAAGCATGAGTGGGGTGGAGAGGTTGCATCAAGAAAAGTTCTTCATTAGTTCCCATAATAAAAGGACTACAGGACTCCAAAGGAAAGGAATGGGTAGCAGGCTTCAAACTAGTAACAGAAAGTTGTTATTCACAAAGCAAAGAGTCAACCTGTGGAACTCCTTGCTGCAGGAGGCTGTGAAGGCTACAACTAGAACAGAGTTTAAAGAGAAGTGAGATAAAGTGATGGAGGTTGGGTCCATGGAGTGGTGTCCCTCCCCAAAGTTTGTGGAAGGCTGGAGAGGGATGGCCCGAGACAAATGGCTTGGTCACTGTCTTCGGTCCATCCCCTCTAGGGTCCCTAGGGTTGGCCACTGTTGGCAGACAGGCTACTGGGCTAGATGGACCTTTGGTCTGACCCAGTACGGCCATTGTAAGCTCAGGGCTCAGGGTCAGGGGTCTCAGTGGATCACCTTGATTTTCATGCACACCTGCTCCTGGGTGGCCAGGCTGGCAGCTCTCCTGCCCTAGACGGCCACTTTCCTTTGCCTAGTGCGGAGGTCGTGGCCGAGGTCCACGATGTCCGCACTTGGCCAGGCAGGGGCCCGCTTCTTGCGGTCCCGGGCAAGCTCCCGGGAGCCGCCAGCCTGGTCCCAGGAAGAGGGGGAGAGCTGGGGGGCATCGGGTGGGTGGCTCGAGCCATGCCAGGTGTAGGGTCTGCTAGCTGGGTGCTGGCAGGCTTGCACCTGGCACGGGAATCGTAGCCAGCCCGTGCCCCTTTAAGGGGCCCGGGGCCGGGAGGGGGGCAATAGAGTTTCCCTGGTGTTGGCCAGAGTGGCCACCAGGGAAAGCTGGGGAGGGCTAGCCTCCCACCAGTTCGAATTAAGGGGCTACACACCCCTTAATTCGAACTAGTAAGTTCGAACTAGGCTTAGTCTTCGTAGAATGAGGTTTACCTAGTTCAAACTAAGCGCTCCGCTAGTTTGAATTAAGTTCGAACTAGCGGAGCACTAGTGTAGCACCTATCAAAGTTAATTCGGACTAACGTCCATTAGTTCGAATTAACTTTGTAGTGTAGACATACCCTAAGGTGTTATCTGTCTTATTCTCTATCCCTTTTTAAATTATTCCTAACATTGTTTGCTTTTTTGCCTGTTGCTGCACATTGAGTGGATATTTTCATAGAACTATCCACAATGACTCCAAGATCTCTCTCTCTTGAATAGTTATAGCTTAATTAGTTCCCCATCATATTGTATGTATAGTTGGGATAACACAGAGTCATGCACACAATTTCATACTGCCTTAGTTTCTTTTGATGCAACGTTTTCCCTGTACTTTGCAAGTTTGATTTATAGTTTAACTTTTTAGCCACTTTGAACTCCATTAACAAATTGTAATCACTTTTTCATAGTATGTGCTCATCTGCTTTGCATAAATGTGTGTTTGGGTTTTGTTTTTAATCACTGCAAGGTACAGCGCATTTAAACCTTTTACTCCTTTGGTGGTGAGATGTATGTGTAGCTTTGCAGCAGTGGTCGCTGTGGCAATGCAAATTTTATTGTTCTGAAACTCGTTGCAGGGTTGTTCCAGAATCTCCTCGCTGGCTAATCTCTCAAGGAAGATTACAAGAGGCAGAAATCATCATCCGAAAGGCCGCAAAAACAAATGGTATTACAGCCCCAGATGTAATATTTGACCCTATGGAGGTAAACTTTCACGTGTATTAAAACTGTCTGCATTTATCCTCTGGTTACTATTTATGAAAATCCATTTCCAGATTTATTTTTGGGATTAAGGTAGTTCTTGCAACATCCAAGGCACTTTCCAGACAGATAGTCCTTGCCCTCAGGAGCTAATAGCTAAGTGCTCACCCCATATCCTTCCTCTTCATAAAACTTATGAACCTCCTGTTGTTCCCATTCCATGAGCATTCCAGACAGAAGGAAGACACATCTGTGTTCTGCATTGTACCTACGTGTGCAGTTTAGTATCTTTAGGGCAGGCATTTTAACATGTTTTCATAGTTTATTTGTTGCTCTGTGGCTTGTACATACCCTGCACTAAGTAGAATATCTGAAATACAGTAAATCCCCCCCTCATGGACTTTGCTATTTTATATGAGATAGCTGGCATATGCGTGTAAATTCTCACTTCTCAGGGTGCTGGAGCCTGGCCACATTGTAGAGAGAGATTCTGGAGATATATAAGATTGGGGTGGGCAATCATTTTTGAAAGGGGTCCACTTTGCGAATTTCTGAAGTGGTCACGGGCTGTCCCTGGAAGGGTGAAGGCTGCTTCCCGTGTTCCCCCTCTCACAGACCGTAATTGGCCTGGGCGTCGGGGGAGTGTATGCAATCTTTGCTCCTGTCCCCCAGTGTCTAGAAAGAACTGCCAGCTCTTCCGTTCCCAGATGTCGATTGGCCTGGGGGTGGAGGAGTGGCAGGGCAGCTGCAGGCTGGATCATCCACATAGGGGGATGGGATTGAGGTGTAGAAGGGCCTGTGAGGTCTAGAAGGGAGTTTGGGTGAAGGAAGCAGTTGCGACCTGGGGCACAGGATTGAGGTACAGGGGTTTGGATTGTGACCTAGAGTAGGAGGGGGCTGTGACCTAGGGCAGAGGACTGAGGTGCAGGAGGGAGTACAGGGGTTTGGGTTGTGACTTAGGGCAGGGGATTACAGTGCAGAGGTTTGTGTTGTGATCTAGGGCAGGAGGGGATTGTGATCTGGGGCAGCGGATTGGGTTGCAGAGTCTGGGAGGGAGTATGGGCTCAGAAGGGGGGCAGAGGGTTTGGGTTATGTGGGGTATGGGAGTAGGATTTGGTGGGGTAGGGGATTGGGTGGAGGGAGGGGCTGGGGTTCCAGAGGCAGGCTCTGGCCAGGAGACTTACAGTAAGACTCTTGACCAGCAACCCAGCTGGTTTCTCAGGCCTGCCCCAGCCTCCACAGACTGCAGGCCACGTGCTCTGTGAATAAGAGTCTGCAGGGAGGAGGGAGTGGTGCTTGTGTGCTGCCTCTTTTTAAAACAGGCAGCTTCCATTGGCCAGAAACCAGCCAATGGGCTTGTGCTGAGGCAATAACAGCCATGAAGAACCAATTCCTCCACCCCACCAGGCTCACAGTTATGAAACACAAATGACCCCACAGCTACTTTTCTGAGTGGCATGCGGGAGCAGGGGAGTCTGCCTGAGGCTCCCTGCTGTGTGTGTGGGCCAGATCTGGTGGCTTGGTGGGCCATATTTGGCCCACAGAACTTGTTTTGCCCAGGCCTGTATAAGAGGGACTTTGCTTTCAGATTTCTCCCCCTCCCTCCCCAGCCATTGATTTTTTGGATGTAAAGATCATTGTTCTGGAGAAAGATGTAAAGGCCCCCTCCCTTCCCCCCCGGATCATGAAACAGAATGAGAGTGCAGATAGCACAATATAGACAAAATCTGTCCTTTAACTAAAGGGATGAATGAAAACCCATGGACCTCCAGGTGCTTCTTAGGACCATTCCTAGAGAAGGAGAGCCCCATTCCAATGATTTGAAGACTTTACCGCAGAACTAGACTCTAGCTATTTGTTTTACTGTTCTCTAGTATAATATTGCTCTGGCCATGTAAGAACTGTACTGGCAGAGGCGTGTGGGGAAGGGGAAAATGGATGTAGTCGGTAGCCTTGAATAGGCTCAAATCCAGTCAGGTTACAGAGCTGTGCTACAGCCTGCATGGAGCCTTCAATCTCATGAGATTTCCAGTTGTCTGTGCCTTCAGAGTCTTCAAATCCCATCTCTGGCTCCAAAGAGCCTCTTAACGTTCTATTGACTTAAAAGAACACACAACAATACAGTCACAATCACCTCTGCATTACCATGTAACTACACCACAAATATCACCTGGCAAAGTCTGCCAGTGTCACTAGGGGGCTGGTGCTGAATGTTAACGGGAGACACTGTAGCTCCTCAAATTGTAATCACTTCATGGCATGGACTGGGTCTATCTGTGTGCTTACATAATAGGGATGTAATAGTGTAGCTGCTTAATTGATTAACCGATAAATGAAAGCTTATCGGTTAATGCTACCAACTACATGCATTTTCCCCTTCCCCACACGCCTCTGCCAGTACATTTTTTTAGAGGGCTGACTAGCAGTCTGGGTTAGTCCCGGTTCATGCTGGGTCCTGGGAGCTTCCCCCGGCTACGGCTGTGCAAGGAAAGTAATTTAGTAGTCAGTGGGCAGGCAGCCCGGCTCAGTCCCGGCTCTCATCAGTCCCGGGAGCTATCCCCGCTGCGATTGTGCAAGGAAAGTAGTAATATTGCAGAACCACAGTGGGAGGTAGTTCCTGAAACCCAGCACAAGCTGGGACTGTGCAAGATTGCCTGTCCACCAGCTCCTAAAATATTCTTAGCGCAGAGCTGTCGTGGTGGTAGTTGCTGGACCTGGCACAAGCCAGGACTGAGTGCTTTCAGTGCTAACCTTTATTGATTAATCATGTCGTTGAGAGAATTTTTGTCAACTACACAATTAACAAATTACACGCTTCTTAACATCCCTATTAGATAGTGCCCAGTCCAACACAGTCCTGATTATGGGCATGGCCTCTGGGTACTACTATAATAAAAATATATCCAAGCTCAGCATTTTTCTCACAACCCTTTAGGGTGGATTCATTATTATGTACCAATTTTCTCGCTTTATTTTTCTTTCTACCAATATCCCTCCTTCCCCCTGGAAGTTGTCTTTCTGTCTGAGCTGTAGCTGAAACAATGTAGGATTTGAGATGGGAGAGGTATGTTAATATTCACACTTGTCTGATTTTTGGAGGTCACTCAAAGGCCATTTGGGTCCCATCCGTGACCCTAGAAGATGAGGGATTCCTGGACTCCGTTCAGTTAAGGATGTGTAGGGTTTTATATGAGAGGGTTACATTCAAAGTATCATTTCTGTCTCATAGCAAATGGTAAGCAGTCTCGGCCACTCCCATACCTTCCTTCTGGGACCTGCCCCATGGAGGATTCTGTTGTTTGTGTACCCAGCTACTAATGGGCAGAGCCTTTTCTCACAAATAGCAACTGTTAAAATTTACACCTTGTTCCTGTTTTTAGTTTCCTGTTTGTTGATTTCTTGGCAGCTACCCTTGACTAAACTGTATACTACTTAAGAAAGATCATATGATTTATGAGAAAGGGTTGGGAGCTGTACTGCTGCCTGCAGTTGACACTGCAACATGTTTGTCTTTAGGGGACAGCTAGTTTTCAGGAAGACAAAGCTCTAGCTCTTAATGCTACTAAAATGTCAGATGCTTTGTCAGGGACAGTGATTTATAAAACCAAAGATATCTGTGCAGTGATGAGGCCCCAGAATTGGGGCTGCGGCCCTAGCCTTAGTGTCTACCCCACAGTTAAACATCCCCTTGAATCCCATGTGCCCAAGTCAGCTGAGACAGGACAGCACAGGATTGCTGTGTAGACTCACCCTCAGAAGTAAGATTGCACTCACTCACAGTAACTGCATCAACCTTATTGAAAAGCTGCATTCACAGTAGCTTAGATACAATTTACAGCACATTGGTGAAGCTTTTTTGATGCTGGAGGGTAAAGTTTATAACTGTTATTGACATTAATAATTCTTATTCATGCAAATAATTCATTGCAGTGGGACAAATTTTGTGTATAAGGTTTTCTCACATTGGAGACAGCTTTGCCACAATTTTTCGTGTAGAAAGTACTCTACTCCATTGAAGTCAAGGGAACTTATTTCATAGCAAATTAATATTCTGCATGTAAGGGTTACAGATACAAGCCCAGTGAGATTGCAAAATTAGTTACTATCTAACTTTTCATAATTTATTAGAGTCAAAAACTCCAATGCAATTAGCTCATAGGGACTTGATTTGCTATTCGATATTTTATGCATTCTTACATTGAGAACTAGGGAATGCTAGTGTGTAGCTACTGTTACAACATTCTCAAAGATGGCACATTTCTTACATTCTCTGCGTGTGCAAACCTCACATTTATTTACATGCATCTCTTTGTTTTGGCTACAATTTAATCTCTGAATGACCTAGCTCAAAAGGATTCAGGCAAACAAGATGATGTATCCTCAATCCTTAGGAATCAGCTTGTTGTAAAAACTAGAAATGTAGAACAGGGTGATCAGGAAGTTGGGGTGGTATATTATAATATAAGATTGGTCAGACGATAAAACCAGTGGTTGGTTTGTCTAGAAACCCTTGATTGTTGATTTATGTGGATGAAAGTAGTGAACATTGCACTCCTAATGTAATCTAATGCTCAAGAGAAAATGCTTCTAAACAAAACATTTTGAAATTTACCATAGCAGACTGTACTGTAACATCGTCTGCCTAGTGCAAGTTAAAACTAGTGTTTGAAAAGTAGTATTAATAACAAGATTAGCAGTTTCCAAGAACCAACATAAATTCTGTCTCTTTATGTTCCCACTTAGAATTTGCTATTCTTAACCTTTCAAATTTAACTTTTGAGGAGACAGGAACCCTCTCCACCCACGGTGGGGAATCTTTTTTCGGTCAGGACCACTGACCCACAGAAAAATCAGTTGGGGGCTGCACTCAAGTGAGAAACAAAAAACCCCATCCCTCACTAGCATGGGCTCCCCAATGCTGGGGGGAGCCCCAAGCTTCGGGCTAGATGCGGGTAAGCGGGGGGCTGCATCCTGCCCTGGGGCCCTAGGTTCCCCACTCTTGTTCTACACAATTGTTTTTGCAGGCCTTCACTCAGTGTTAATTTGCACTTATAGAATGACTAATATGCAAATAGTTCTTACTGCTGTTGTAGAAATGGAATTCTTTTCAAACAAAACATAAATTGCCTGGGTGGATAAAAATCATGATTTTCATATTGATAGTTCTTTACTTCTCATTTTATAGTCTTGAATTGCTAAAATGAAGGCTTGTCCTTATTTCCTTAATTGGGTTCCTAAAAAAAAGACAAGTCCAGCATCACTATTACTGTGAGAACCATACAAACTCTGACATGAAATTGTTCATATAAATATCTTGTGCTATATTTCCAACCAACATCATCTTATGATACAGTAATTCCTCACTTAGCACGTGCTCGCTTAACACATTTTCGCGATAGCATGATTTATTGGGGGGGGGGACATTTTTCAAACAACGCGACCCCGTCCTCGCAATAACACGATTTCCCCTAGTGCCAGCCGGTGGAAGGCAGCTGCGCGAGGCTTCCCCTGCCTCCCTGTAAAGCGGCAGTGGTTTGCCGCTCACAGCGGCGTTCCCTGGTGACCCCCTCTGGCCAGATGCCTTGCGTCCGTCCAGAGGGGATCACCGGGGAACGATGCGGCGAGCGGCAAACCTCCGCCACTTTGTAAGGAGGCAGAGGAAGCCCTACGCAGCTGCCTGCGACCGGCCAGCTGAGGAAACCCAGCCGCCGGCTGCAAGCTCCCTCCCCTTACCTTCCCCAGAGCCAAACACCTCTCCAGTCCCCTTTCTCCCCCAACCTTATGTCCCGGTCCCAGCTGCTAACAAGTGCAAGCTGGAGCCACAAGTGCCAAGGCAGCCTCCATCTTTTCCATTATTTTCAATGGGAAAATTGACCCCGCATAACATGTTTTCACTTAACACAAACATTTTCAGAAACGCATCTACAGTATTAAATGAGGAATTACTGTATATCAAATAACCACAAGTCAAGGATGCTGAAATGCTTCAACTGAACTATACATCTCCATCAGCGTTTGCAATTTGAAATCAATGAGATCCTAAGTCACTTTCCTCCCTTACATATTTAAATATAGGTTTAGGAGCCTAAAGTTAGTCAAAAAATAAGTTCACAAATAACTTTTCATTGTTAATACTGAAGTAATTTTCTTTTGAAGTGACAATATTTGTATGCCAATAAATGAAGTTTTTAATAAAAATAGAATTTTAGCCTCTGATCCTGCAAACTGATCCTGTAAGTGTTTACATGATCAGACTCAACTTTCAGTACTTTGTCTCTTGCTGATAGCAGTTTTGTTGAGACCCTCTTATAATGACATTTTATAAATTAATTATAAATTTTAATTTAAAATTGCTATAGCACAGTTTTTCAAATAAGCTTTACAAAGCCTCATTCAGACTTAAATCAGCGATTTTTTTTTTAATCCTGTGATTTGTAAATCAAGGATTTAAACCATGTACAAGATTACTACTACTCTTGGTTAATTATCCCTATTGTTAGAATGTGTGCCTTATTTCTAATCAGCCTGACTTAAATCTTTCTAACCTCCTGTAAGCTGTCCTAAAGCCTCTTGCTCTTGAGATGTTTACTGCAGTCCATGTTGCTCATTAAGAATAAATATTTTATAATACAGAATTGGCTCAGTGACGATGTGTCCGTATATTTTTCCCAGCTGCAGGAAATGACTTCTCAGAAGCAGCAGACACACACCATTTTGGACCTAGTGAGGACCCAAAATATCCGATTTGTCACTATTATGTCAGTGATCCTTTGGTAAGCAAAATATGATCTTACAACACACGAGCACAAAGCCTGCTGAATGCTAAGCACATTCTGTCAGAAAAAGGAGGCACGAAGTTAGTAACATAAAGTTCAAAGGCTGATAAACTTCTGGCTAATTTGTACATGATTCAGATTAATCAGGTTGTTTTTATTTAAGGATTACAATAAGTGACTTTTTTTAGTCACCACAAGATTTGTGATAAGAGCAAATATTGATCAGTATTGAATATTGACCTGCGTAGTCCTCTCTGCTGCCGTTGTAAGAAGTACATTGCCCATTCTCCTCCCCTCCCCCCAACTCCCAGCAGACACCGTAGAGTATCTCTTAATTTCTTGGAAAAAAGCTGGCTAGCATCTTGTGCCTTACAAACGGTGTGCTCTGTGTGTTTGGGGTGTTAGTACTGGGTGTAGTATAATATAGGGGGACTGCAAATAAAAGGGTACATAACTTATTACAGATCTCAGACTACATGAGATGATGAGTCTGTTGCCTCTGAACAAGTGAGAGCCCCCAGATCCAATCCCTTTGCTAGACCCTGAGAGGTGGGGCAGAAGTTTTAGGTCTGATCATCATGTAGCGTATATAAATCCTTCTACAAGCATGTTCTTTAAAAATCCATATCTGAGTATCAAGCTTTTCCAACTATGGATGTAAAATTCCATGTAATTAGTTAACCAGTTAAATGTTCAATTTAGCCAGTTAACTGATTGAACAGGGTTGAACTGGGGGGCCACTCTAACCCAGTTGGACTGGAGTGGCGCCCCTGCCTTCCACAATCGGGCTGGAGTGGGTCCTCTGCTACGGGCAGGGGCTGCTCCAGCCCAGCTTCTTGTGACCCTGCATGGAGTTGCCAGGTCCTGGCCTGCATGGGGCTGACAGAGCTGGCAGCTCCACATGGGGCCAGAAACAGGAGCTCTGTGCAGTAGCCCAGCAGGATTTGAGCAGATGGCCGCAGGCAGGGAGCTGTTCCCCAGGTACCAATTAACCATTATCTGGTAAGCATCACCCTTAGCGGCTGCTGCATACCAGGTACTAGTTAACCGGTTATCCGTTAACATCCCTATTTCCAACATGATGGCCTTATGCAAACTGTATTAGTGAGGGAGTCAGGTTTAGATTTGATGATGCTTTGAGCTCAATAATAATTTTGAAAAGCAGAGATTTAAATGTATGGCACAGCAGCTGGGAATTCAGTCACAGGATTTAAAGGGATAATTTCCTATCAGAACCATTCTTCTTTCCCATTAAATTCTGCCAAACAATTATTGCTTATAACTTATAGCTTAAGCTGCCAGGTAACACCAGGAAATCGGCAAAGCTTAGATATTTACTTAGTCCTGAGGCTTTTCTTGGTATCCTACAGAAGGCACATTTTCATCTCCACAACTGCACAGATAACTTTTTATTGTTTTAAGCAATTGAACCATGAGCATTTTTTTTTGCTGGGCATAAACCCTGCCAGAAACAGATTGCCTTTTGGTTTGCAAACTCTTTGGTTATTATTACACGTGTGCAGTTAGCATTGTAAGAGCTTGACCTCCTTGAGGGCTCTAGGCCTTGATGAAGGTGAAAGCTCTTTGTCTATGTGATTCATTTAGAGATTTCTCAGTCCAATAGCTGTGACTACATTTCTTGAATGGTTGTCTCTTGTTGGTGAAATGTAACCTCCCCTGCTCAATGTGTCTCAAGATATCCTAGTTCCTTACAGTTGTTGTTATAGTAGTTGTTGCAGAGCTGCAGTGAAGTCCCTCTTTTCTTTTTCTGAGTACAGTTCTCTCAGCACAGAAAGATGGGAGAAGGGAAGTCTTCTCCCCTTCCATGTTTCCAGCTAAAACATCGAATGTAGGCTTCATTTTAATTTTGGAAACACACTGAGTTCACTAGTCTGGAATCCTGACTTTCATATTAAGACTACAATTATTTAGTAGCAGAATTCTGATTATTGTAATGATTCTAATATGGGTGCACCTTGACTTAGAGCAATCAGAAATGTTCAGATGTGTGTTAGAAACCCTCTATGCCAGCAACAACCAGAAGTTCTTCAGAGCACATAACAGGTTCTGTCTAAAAGTGACAAATGCAGGAATCGTTTTGTAGGTCCATAGTGGAGAGAAATTGACATGGGCATGTAGTCAGTTAAAATGTCAGAAACCATGTGTGGCCACAGTTTCCACTGGAGCAGGTAGTGAGAGTCAAGTAGATTGAGCTTAGATAGGCTCATGCTTCAGCAGGGCTAAGAAATGTCTCTGGAATCATCTAGTCAGATTGGATTCATTTGTATCCAATCCAATAGGAGCGCTGGGTTTTTTAAAAGTTTCATTAAAGTCAGGAAAAAACAGGTAAATTCAGTCTCTAGAAGGCCTTGTCTAAGTCTATTACATCACTGCGTTCAGCAGTAAATCTACCTGACACAAGCTTCAAAGCTGAGAAAGTCTAGTAGGTACTGACATTTACATATTTTGAACAGTAATTGTGTGAGGCGCACTTGGCTGTCTGTGGCCATAGGAGGCTGAGAAAAAGCAGGAACAAGTCCGTCTGATTAATTTTTCTTATTTTCTGTGTTTTTCAGGATGATAATCTCTGTGGGCTACTTTGGCCTCTCACTTGACACTCCTAACTTGCATGGAGATGCCTATGTAAATTGTTTCCTCTCTGCGGTTATCGAAGTCCCCGCCTATGTTATAGCCTGGGTGCTTCTCCGAAATCTCCCCCGACGGTATTCGATGGCTGCTGCGTTATTCCTGGGAGGCTGCGTCCTTCTCTTCATTCAGCTGGTCCCTGCACGTATGCACTTTTTAGCTGATATAAACCAGACTTTTTTAATGGTTAAATTCCAGTGCCTAGCACTGGGCAACCATGTGAAGTATTGTGGAGGAGAAGACTCTTTAGCCCAAGTTTTAGACCAAATGCAGATTCTCCTTACCCATCCTTGCCATTTCCTTCCACCTCTGTTAGCTGCTGTACAGGAATGTACAAGGAATGTGTCCACATTAGAGTTGCAGGTGTAATTTTCATCTCACGTAGATTTATCTGGGCTAGCTCTGATCCAGCTAGTATGCTAAAAATAGAAGGCCAGCCGTAGTAGCACATGCAGCAAGACAGGTTCGTGGGATGGTATGATCGTGTCTGAAACCCTAATTCTATACTCAAGGTAACTAGCCCTTCCTGCCACTTTCCACAGTTGTACTTCTTCAGCACACTAGTTTAGTCAGAGCTTGCCCAGGTATGTCAGAGCTTGAGGTGTAAATAACACCTCTGGCTCTAGTATAGACATAACCAGACATATTCCTAAGCCTTTTTTTTCTCTAAAAGGTGATTAGTTCTCTTTATGGTCTGTTAAAATTCAGACTCTAGCCTGGTTTTGCCCTAATTTATACCCCTGGAATCTAATAAAACCATGTAAATTGGTATAATCCTGCAGAGCTTTTCTACAGAAGAGCCAATTGCCAATAAAGTTTTCCTTCTTTGGTCTCATTAAGGACTTAAATTTCAGGAGATCTACTGGGTAGCCTTTGCGATAAATAATAAAAAGTACAAGTATAGTACTTTTAAAAAAGGTGAATGTTTATTCATTTAAAAAAAATGTGAAGGAAGGTATCATATAGTCAGAACCCCACCATTAAGTAGCTTTCTGCTAAGCATATTAGAGGAGGTAGACTTCTACTATGCATACCAAAGGTGGTTACCATTCTGATCTGTTGATGGCTTTCACCATGTGCTTAAGACTTGGTGTAGGAGCATGTTACCACAAATCAAAAAATAAATAAATGAAAGGAAGGAAGAACTCTTGCTTATTCTCCATGGGTGACAGATGCGGTATATTGGTAGTTACTCCTGGCATTTAAACTACCTGTACATTGGTATGTGTTTTATTACAAACTAGCTAGCTAGGGTATAACCAGAATTCTAGAAATACATTGTCAATGTGTTTCTCATTACATTGTGTCTCTGTTCTCAAACTCTATAGATGGCAGGACTGGATGACCTTAGGAGAAAGATGGTTTTATTTTATTTTATTTTATTTTATTTTATTTTAAAGAGCCTTTATATTAAAATGAATCAACCAAGAAACTCCAACACTAGAATTATGGTGACCAAAAAGCTTGTTAGTTTTTCTGATGTTCTGATTGGATTTCACTTTCAGACCTTCATGTCCTGTCCATTATCTTGGTGATGCTGGGTAAATTTGGGATTACATCTTCCTTTTCAATGGTTTATGTTTACACTGCTGAGCTGTACCCAACAGTCGTGAGGAATATGGGAGTTGGAGCTAGTTCTATGGCCTCCAGATTGGGCAGCATCCTCTCGCCTTACTTTGTTTACCTTGGTAAGATACCAGCTATTTCTCTCCTGCCAAATTGGCTAGTATGGAAACAAAATCCAGAACTGAGTCAGAGGCTGCTTTGTAGCACAACACAAATAGTATAATAGAATCACAGCTGCCTTTATTCTTTTCAGTGGGTAACCTGAGCTCCCAGAAGGCATTTAGAAATTCTCATGTTGCTCAACACTTTGTGATTTGGAAGTGTAGAACTCGAAGACATTTTGTTCATATAACAAGATCAGTATTTGGCCATTAGTTCCCTGAAGAAAATTTTTCCTCAAAATATCACTGAGCAATGATCCTCACAGAGGATCTGCATTTTGGAGTATTTCTTCATTAGGCTTCTGAGTTGACATCTCATCAGGATAAATGGGGCAATTCACTGTTTTCTCGCAGCTTTTTTTTTCAAGCTACCTGGAGACTCGGGGAAATGCCACTATGAATGATTTTTTTTCTATGTAAAAGTTATCTTTGCAATTACGTGTGCTATAGGCGTAACATTTTTTAACGAAAGAACAATGGTACAGGTTGTATCTCCTTTAACTGGGACTCTCTGATCTGGCAGCAGTGAACCACGGATGTTCCTGGACCACAGAGCCCACGTATAAGGAAGTTGGGCCACAGGGCAGGAGCAGTGGGGGGGAGGTGCAACTCAGCCAGGAGCCCCATGTGAGGGAGGGGTGGGTGGTGCAGCAGGGAGTTCTGGCCTCTGCTACCAGACAGTAGTGGGGGCTGGCAGCGGCAGCAAAGCCCTTGGTAACCTGGGAGCTCCAGCAGCTGAGGCAGCCGCAAAGTCCCGGCAGCCGCGGAGCCCCAGCCACTCCAGCAGCCGTGGAGCCCTGGCCCCGGCAGCCACTGAGCTCCCAGTCTGGGGAGCCACAGCTGATCAGGGCTTAGCTGGAGTCCTAGCCGGGGGGCAGCAAGGGCCATATTGGGAAGGACCTCCCCTTGTTTGGCAAATCCCCTTATGATGCTGGATGAGGATGCCGGATGAGGGAGGTCCAACCAGTACTGCAATTTATAAAGCTGTATGTTTACATTTTACTAAGGACCCAGATGTTAACCACAGGTTCATCATGGTGGTGACACATACCTGATGGCACGTCCTGTGTTCTTTTAGGTGCCTATGACCGATTCCTGCCTTACATCCTTATGGGAAGCCTCACTGTGCTGACAGGAATCCTTACTCTGTTTCTCCCAGAAAGCTATGGCACACCTCTCCCAGACACCATAGAACAGATGCTGAGGGTTAAAGGGTAAGTTTTACCTTCTGATCTTCTCTCAAGAAAACTCTACCATCCCGGAGAAAAATATCCACATAGAATACATTATTCCTCTTCATTGTTTGATACCCCTCCCCCACAAATAAGTCATCTTTCAGGGATAGTACACAAAAGATTTAAGCTCTCAAATAATCAATAAAATGGGCCAAATTGAACGCCACTGAAGTCAATGGAGTTACAGCAGGGTGACTGTTGGTCAATATGTTGTGCATACCATGCATAGTACTGCTTAAAAGTTGTTTCAGAGGCTGGAGGGAGCTCTTCAGAAAGGAACAAAAAGATGTAAGGAATTATAAGGATGAATGTCTGAGAAATGACGGATCAAGCAAATTAAATGACTAATCAAGCATGGGTAGGCATGTACAGCTTGTCTCTGATGGGTTTGCACAGGTGACATTAGAGGAAGAATCTGGTTCTGCTGGTGGAATTTAGTTGTGATTTTTGTTGATGAGCCATGATTCTGAATAGAATCCAGCTCACTCTGAGATTTCTATGACTCTAGAAGTCTAACATGAATACCCACGTTAAAATGAGCCGTTTTATATAATCTTTTAAAGAGTATAACCCCATTTTAAGATCTTTAACATACACATACATCACTGACATGCAGCAATCATGGTACAAATGTTGAAATGTTGTTTCATAGTATTGAAGTTCATCATCCAAATAATTTCTTCTGATATGAGTATACATAGAAAGTTCACTGCGTGTCAATCTGTAATGTTTGGCACTTTCAAATCCCATGCACGCGAGAGGTTGTTGAGAGTTTTCAGCGTTTCACTTTCCGATTTAGGAATGTGCTTAAGCATGTGATTCATTCTACTGCAGTCATTGGGTGTTTAAAGTAAAACACATGCATACTTTGCTGAATTAGGACCCATATGGACACACTTAGATTTAAGATTTTGAAGGGTACTGTTTTAGTTAGAAATTTCACTATTGGTTGTTTTTCCTTGTTTACAGACTCAAGCACAGACATACATCTAATAGCACCAGGGTTTCAAAGGATGAAGAGGAAAACCCAGCAATTCTTAAAAGCACATCTTTTTGATGACACTACATTGTACACTTCATGATGGACTGAAAAGTGAACTGACTTTTCATTTAATTTTCCTTCCAGAAAGGGTTAGCAGCAACACTTTGTCCTGTAATTATAAACTTATTTATTAAATGAAATACTGTTTTCCAAAAAAGATGTAGATACTGCAAATCCCTGTGTTGAGATCTCCAGCCACAATAATTTAATGTCAGTAACTCAGAACTATATTGGACAAATGCAGTTTATAATTTTATGAGACTATGACACTCTTACTGTAGACCTCACTCTCTGAAAGGTGCTTGTCAATAAGAGCTGACGGATTGACTTCAGTCCTTAAGGAACTTAAGATAATGCATGTTAACAAGAGTTAAAAATTGCCAGCTCTTTCCAAATTATAAGACGAGGCTGCCTGTGATGCTGAATTTCTCAACATGTGCACACGTGCACACACACCCATATCTGCCCCCAGGCAAGCCGGTTGTTATAAAGTAACAAAGTTTGTGAAAAGATCTAGCCTGGCAATTTTATATCATGACATAAATAGTACACAGGGGGCTTTGCACATGCGTAATTCCTGAACAACTCCAGGGATGAAACAAAGAAAAACTTTGGAAAAAAATGAATTTGAAAACTTGACTTTATTTTAGCTGGAAATGGATTGAGATTTTCATGCACAAATCATTTGTAATTAAGTTTTGGTAGCAAAATAATTCTGATTGTTGGAAATACCTTTTTAATATGACCACAGGGTGAAGCTGTTTACATCTGATATTGGGGTGCATCCTAGATGTTTATTTATTTTTAACACTATAAATAGGTTTCATCGGTATTTCTTTTATCCTTTTAGGATACAGTATATAAGCTAATCCCGCTAAATTCTGCACCGTTTGATTGGGGGCAGTATGTCTGTTTTCAAAACTTTTTATTTCTTGTTTTACTCTTTTTTGTCAGTTTCCTCACAATATAGAGCTAAATTCTACTCTCTGGTGTCTCTTTGCACCCACATAGAATGACTGCAGTGAGATTACATGGGTGTCGTTGAGACCGACATTTAGTCTCAGGTCCTGGCCACAAGCTCTTACCTAAGAGCCATGAATGTCATTTTACGCGTTCTGTTTTCTCACTAATATCATGGAACCAGTGAATGTTTTTAAAGCGTAAATGCCAAGAAATCGTGTTGAAAATCTGCCAAGAGCCAATTCTTTTGATCACAGAAGCTGCCTTGGTAGCAGTTGTGTGTCTTTCAGGAAAACTTCTGTTTTTCTTTCATTTGGGCACATTTTTTCACACTGGGAGAGGTTTAAGAAGTTAATTTCATGAAGCATTCTGTGGTATTTAAATTTGTTTGGAATGGTTTAATAAATAGACTTACATGCCAGTGATCAAAACAGTTAAAAGTTTTTCTTTCTGGAAAATCAGCTGTTTACAAATGTTTAACATTTTACTACTGTGTTAAATTTAGTAGCAGCTAATTATCTTGATTGCCAGTGTGCCTTCCTCTCTCCCTGCAGACCATGCTGTAGCAGCAGGTTTGGCACCAGATCCTCTTGCCTTACAGATGTATTTTGTAGACCTCTCTCTCTTTATTACCTTTGTCACATACTGCACTGTGCTGGGGAGGGGTGAGGGGGAGTGAGCGCTGATCCTGACCTGGTCCTGTAGTTCTGCATGTCCACGGTTAAAAGTGTGAGATTTGATGTAGCTTATCCCTTTATTAAATCTCTTATCAGATGTGCAATTGGTAGCTCTTTAATCATCTGATGGAAGTAACTAGACATTGTCAAGTGTTACTGGATTTGGGGGCATAAAACCGATAAATTATCCTGTGGTAAAAGGGAGCTGCAAGTAACATGCAAGGCCCTATTAACCTTTAAAGATAGATTTGTTGTTTCATGCTCCTCCCTTAAACATTCCCTTGTCCTGTTAGGGCCATTATGAGATCTGGAGTAAGTTTTGCAAAATTGACATGGGTCTACACCATACTCTACACCGGTCTCAGCTCACATACCACTGCCTTATAAAATCCACTTGTCAGGGACTTGTCACTATCAAGGCAAGAGCGACTCCTTTGAGTCTGCTTTGGCTCACTCTGGTTACAGTGTTTTGACTCTGTTTGCATTTTCCCCTCATAAGCACTGTACTTTGCAACATTCCTACCACAAACAAACATTCTGTATCACTTCGAGCCTATGTATACAGTTTGCACTGGGGGAGTAATGCCCAACTCTAGGAAATGTGCCTGCTTTAGCTAGCAGAGGGCTAGCATGCTAAAAATAGCGTAGCCACAACATGGTTACACAATATGGTTAGCCACAGGAGGGCTAACGGCACCAAACACATGGAATTTTAGTGCCAAGTCAAAGTGTAGACATACTGCCTTTCTGTGTCTATGTGAACTTTCTCCTATGCATGAGATCATTGAAATCTGTTCTAAAATATAACTTGAAATCTTATAGCACATGTGCTTTTAGTTGATGCCTAATCTAAAACTGGGATAAACTCCTGGCCAAGGTCTGAAATGCCCTTAACACCTCATTTAGCTGTTGCTTTTCTCCATTGATTTATTCTAAGTCACTTGACAGTGAGTTTTTCTTTCTTGAATTTTTAAACATTCCAGTGTTTACTGAGCAATCTTAAGAGTAATGGTTGAGCCACATGAATGGGGAATTTCTCTGTTGTGATGCAAGTCAGATAAATCATGGCAACAATGAACAATTCTGATGACACAGCATGTATTTTAATGCACACTAGTCTTCTAAAAATGGAAACTATAACACAAAATATCATCCATGCGTCTGCAGTGTATATGGATATTTCTATTAGTCTGAGTCACAATTAACAGTTTACCCTATGTACTGTTTTCACAATTGGTTTTGTCACTCCATAGCACAACCCATGTGGGTTATTTTTCTGTATGACTCAGTGGATTCTCTGATCTTGAAAACAATGTACTCATTTTACTAAAAATTACATTGAAAATGATTACCTGAACCTACAGTGACCCCGTTAATGGGAATAGCAAGTAAAGTCTGGAGGTGCTTAGCATAATTGGTGGCACCATATCATACCTAAACTTTGGCAGAGTCATTTTGAGTGCTACATAGCTTCAAGAGACACACTTAATAGTGGTCTTTAAAGATTCTGTTCGCCTGTCACTAGTTTGTAATGTTTTGTAGGTTACGGTGGCATTGAGACCTTCTGAATTGCTCCAGTCTGAATGTAACATTTTTGCAAAGTCAGGTTTTGGGAATATTCCGTCCTTTCTAAAGAAACCAGCATGTAAATTTAACAGAAGCCTCCCTCCTTCCACGAATCACTTTCTAAACTGGAAAGGCCCTATAAAAGTAACATTAGAACACAGGGTCCTTTAGTACCAGGTGGGGTTCCGAGGTGATGTTATCAAAGTGAATCGTGTAGTTGCAGCTGCTATTGTGTGAAGATTTTTTTAAATTCTAGTTTTTCATTTGTACAAGCACATTAGTTAGCAGCAGAACATAAACATGTACAGTTAAAGTCATCTTTATAGCTACCTCAGTTAATAACTGAGGGCCCTGTTCTGTCACCCTTACCATATTCTGTGAGTAGTCTTACTATTTTCAAAGGATTATGGTACTGCTCGTTGGAAGGATGGCAGACTCTACCCCTGAATGAGGGGCTATGCTAAGATGGTAAATCCACTGTAATATTTACACCAGGATAGCATACAAAATGAAATCAGGATGCTTTAGAAAATTCAGAATGGTTCACACATTCTTTTCTTCATCTGCTGGGAATTGCTGCCTGCCTGTATGGTATGTAAGATTCCTAGCTCATAGAAAACCCCCATCATTTATATTATCTTCTATATGAGAGACATGGCCTAATGGTCACAAGTACAAGGGCTAGGCACCAGGAATGACTGGGTTTAGTTCTGGCTCTGAGATTGACCCCCTTCTTCACTTTGAACAAGTCACTTTAGCCTTGGTACCTCAGTTTCCCAGTTCATGACATGAAGATAACACCACTTCTCAAGGGTGTTGGAGTTAACGAATGTTTGTGAAGAGTTATGGAAATGCTCAGGTTGATTACCTGCCATTCCCGAGCACTAGTTAGAATTGGTAGCTTTACTTCCGAATCTGGCTGTGAATTTAACATTATAATATATAGTGCTGATTTTATGTGTTGTTCTGTAGCACCTTCTGCCAGCTGATCTCAGAGCACTTGTGACATTAGCTTCACCAGTGCTGGTACCTCCTTTCGCACTCCTAAACTACAGATTGGGAAAGAGAGGCACAAAGTGGAGGTGGCTGGGGCCGCATAGAAAGTCTGTTTCAGAGACTGGTGTAGAACCTGGGTTTTCTGGTCTCCAATCCTTTGGACAGGGCTGCCTTTGTGAATGCAGGCTACATTTAAAATGTACATTATTCTTCCAAACGTGGTGAGACTATCATCTTTCAATAGACTTTAATTTGATCAGAGGATCCATAATAATACTACTGCCATGGTGCAGATGTCTTGGAAACTGCTTGCCATCGCTGTGGTAGGTGCCTAGCTTAACATCTTTTATGCCCTTGCCCCAAGTGGCTCATCCATTATTATAAATTGCTCTCTGAGGCCCTAAGCCTGCAAGCACTTCTGCACATGAGTAGCTTGGCTCACCCGAGTAGTCCTATTGAACTCCATGAAACACCTCCTGTGAATCATGTTGTGTGTGTTACTAGTTATAGGATTGAGCCGTAAAACTTGAAAGGCGTAGAAATTATTTGATCTCAACATGAAATCAACTTAGATAACCTAGTGCCTTGCTTGCAAATGCATCTTGGGGCACTTTAATATACCACTTATGCCTAGGGCCTTGTATAGAGAGAGCCAAATATTTTCAGAATCAAAGAGTGGTTTCTCTTCTGAATGTAAATATTATTAAATTACTTGATTCTTAAAATCATTTTCCTGTAAAAATTGTGATACGATTATTTGTAAAATTCTGAATAAAATCATTCAAAGGAGAATTCCAAATATGAAGTGCTCTGGTGTTCTTTTATGCATTCATGGTTTTTTTTTCTTTAGCCAGAAGAAATATGGATTTTCAAGGGCCTTTTTGACAACCGCTTCTCCATTTTTCAAACCTTCTGGGCCTTATCATGCTTCATCTCACAATGTACAACGTGATTTCTCATAGATTTCAAGTCAGTTTGCTCTGAGCAAACATCACACTTAGGCCTTCACTAGTGTCCACTGCCAAATGAGTGCAGATTGTAGGCATGGAAAGAGGTGACTGGGAAGCAAAGGAATTCTATCGCAACGGTTTTCAAACTTTTTTCTTGTGACCCAGTTGGGAAAAATCCTTTATGCCCACGACCCAATAATTACATCTTTTTAGAATGTCCCCTCCCTGCACAGCAGGGATGCAATTTCCAGGTTGAGGAGACCTACCCGTGCTAGCTTTGATCCAGTTAGTGTGGTAAAAATCGTGGCGGGAGGATCTTGCTGCTCCAAACACTTGCCTTGCATCTCAGATGGGTACATTTCTCCAGGCAGCTAGCCCTGGTGCCACCTAGGATGCATTCTGTCACATGCTCACTCTATTTTCTGAAGCTGCAAATTATGCCCTGATCTTGCAATACAGACACACCCTAAAACAGGAAGTTTCTTAAGCGAGAGCACCCTATCTAGTCTGTATATTCTCCACCAACAGGTGGCAGCATTTCCTCAGCTCACTGTGCCTGCAACTAACACCCAAGATGTACTCCAGGTTCACGCATTTGAGCACATCTGTTGGGTCTTTGCCCACGAAAACTTATGCTCCAGTAAATCTGTTAGTCTATAAGGTGCCACAGGACTTTTCATGGTTTCTGAACATGAACAGTTCATTTTAAAATAGTTACTGTACAGTGCTTGCCTAAGACATTACCTTGTGATAGTTACGTTTGGTAAACTCCTGTTTAGGTTTGATATATCATTATTTATATTACCATTTGTGGCTAGGAGTCCTAGTCCTGGGCCAGGATCCCAGTTAACTAGAGCCAGACTCTCCAGTGGTTTGTTTCCAAATTCTAGTCAAGAGTTCAGTCTGAGACCAGATCAAGACCCATTGTGTGTTCTTCTGTCTTTAAGCAAAATCCCATAAGAATTTAGTCAAATCATACTATGGGATCTTCTGAAAAAGTAGAAAGTCAACACAGGCCAAAAGATGAATCCAATGTCAACTTGACAAGCGTTTTGTAGGCTTTCCCAGCCATCTCTCAACCTGCTGTGAGGAAATATATATTTTTGTGTGAGAGAAACTGCAAATGCCAAGAGGAACAAAAATGCACAGGTCAGTTTTATTTTGTAATATGACGACTGTCAAGTTCAGTGTGGGATATAAGATCTCCGAAGTGTCAGTGTTCAGTAGGTGCACGTTCTCCAAAGATATATCACAATGTATGTTGAATTGTAATAGTGGTTTTTTTTTTTTTTTAAAGTTCAAAAAATCTGTTGAGATCTTAACATATTAATAGGAAGAATAGGTTTAAAATCACACACAAACACATAGCAACAAATAATTATCTGACTTTTATTTTTATTAGTCATAAGTATTTTTGTCGGATCAGACCTATAGTTAAATTTCACCAAGAGACAATAGTTTCTTTGCCAAGAGACAATAGTGCCTTGATCATCCACAAGAACAGAGAGAGCTTCAGTTTTCACTCCGCTATTGGTGTTTGATAGAGAACTGCAGAACCCTGAATGGGGGGAAGGGAACAAGGGGGAATGACTTTCACATTTTGTATGTAGTTTGTATGTTTTAAGTCCACACATGTATTTCTCTGTTTCTTACAGGGCTCTTGTTATGTCAGTACCTGAGTTTTTCACAGGTAGTACTGTTTTTCTGCCCTCGGTAGTTCTAGACCAGTGGTCACCAACCAGTAGATTGGGATCTACTGGTAGATTTTGGAGCCTCTGACAGGTGATCCTTACTAGTTTTGCCAAGATGCTAGCAAGTACCAGCATTTCAGCTGCCCCTACCCCCCACTGCTGCTCATCTCCTGCCTTTTGCCTTGGAGTTGCCCCTCCCCCTGGGAACCTCCCGCTTTCTGTGCAGGGCAGGGGAGGGAGAGGAAAATGCTGATGTCAGGGTGCCCCCTCTCCCACTCTGTATCCTATCTCCACAGATGTCAACCAGTGGCCGGGGTTGTGTGTGGTCTGTGAGACCTATTAAACACCTGAGTCTTCAACTGCTAGGAAAGGGTCCCTTCGCAGCAGGCAGCCAGGAAGGCTGACGGGTGTCCCAAAGTTTACACCCGAGTCTTTAGCTGCTAGGACAGGATCCCTTCGCAGCGGGCAGCCAGGGGAGACTGACGGGTGCCCCAAGGTTCCGCAGGGGAGCTTATTACACCCGAGTCTTTAGCTGCTAGGACAAGAGTCCCTTCGCAGCGGGCAGCCAGGAGAGGTTGATGAGTGCCCCAAGGGTCTGCCCCGTGGAGGCAGCAGAACCCCAGCGCCCAGTTCTTACTGCATCTACCCCCTGACTGACTAGTTCTTTTAATTGTGTCTGGTTCGGTTACAGCAACAGAAGGAGTCAGGTTAAAGTTTAAACAGTTACAGGTTTATTAAAGAGACTTATAAAGCATACGGTTACAGTGGCTATTGTTCTACTTCTTAACTGCTAGCAAATACAGGTCTTAAAATGGTTATGAAGGAAAAGGAAGATAAAATAACGGTACCAAGTGACAGCTTAATCTTTATAGAGCTCTAATTCTATGCATGCACTAAGACAAAAGGACACAAACAGGTACAATTTTTACCCACTTCTGCGTCTCTCGATTCCAGCGTGTCAGGCCAGAATCGGTCACTCAATTCCTCGCTGGGCATCCGCGTGTGGACCTCAGGAGACAATCACATAACCCGACCAGCAGGTAGATGGTAGATTGATACTCAGAGTGAGTGTGCGGCTGGGCCCATCTTTATACCCATGGGGTCACGTATTCTCTTTCTTATCTATGGTGCCAAATTTTGCTGGTTCGCCTTTGAGACGCCAGTTCTTACAAGGGAGTTGTGAACTTAATTTACACTTGTAACTAAGTTGGGAGTACTGGACATTCTTTACTCAGTGGGAGATACCTCTCCCGGGACTGTTGTGTGATCGTATCAACATAGGTGCCAGCTAAGGGCAATTTCTGCAGCCTCTTGGTCAGCGATTGACTTGATCACCCTCTTATCTATGTTCACAGTTATCCAGTGTCATGAATAGCCAACATACACGGGCCTTCTGTCAAGGCATCAAAGACTATGCTGATTTTATTGTTCTCTGTGTCCTGTGTGCTCCAGGCACCTCAGAGGGGCAAGCAAGATGGATGTGATGGGGGGGAGGGGGCTCTGTCTGGCTATAACAGAGCAGAGAGGGGGCACAAAAGGGTTTGGGATGGAGTTTGCTGGGTGCTTTAGGGAGTGGTCCAGGGCCAGGTCAGGGTCACCTTTAGCCCCACTGCACTACCACCCAGGAGCCACCAGCAGTGCCCAGCTGGAGCACACATCCTAAGCTCCTACCCTAGTCATAAACCCCTTGTGCACCTCAAGCCCTTATCCTAGCCCCAAGCACCCCTGCATCCAAACACCCTCCCAGAGCTTGCATGAAGAACCCCCTCCAATACCCCAACTGCCAGTCCTAAGAGCAGCACTCCAGATCCCTTAATCCAAGACCAGAGCCTGCACCCCAACCCTCTGCCCCAGCCTGATGAGAGTGAGTGAGGATGGGCAAGAAAGGGAGGATGGAGTGAGCAGCGACGGGGCCTCAGAGAAGGGGCAATGGTATTTATAGTTGAGGTAGAGCTTGGATTGCACCTAAATTCAAAAAGTGATCTCGTTCTCAAAAAGGTTGGAGACCACTGCTCTAGACGGAGTGGGAATACTCTTAATTAACAGATGGAAAGCTAATGCTCTCGGAAATTAAGAGATACGCCCAAGACAACTCGGGCATTTTTAACAGAGTCAAGAGTAGACCCTAAGTCTTCCAATTCCTTGGTTAAAATTTCCAAAAGTGACCTTTAGGCCCAGACTTTTAAAAGTATTGAGGCACTTACCTCAAAGGGAATCAGGTGCCCAAATACCTTTAAACATTTGGCTTTGAATGAGTTGCTCCATTTTCAAAAGTGACTTAGTCTCTTGCTCCATCTGACAAAAGTTTTTTGAAGCTTATCAGAAGTCTCACTGCTGTGCCAAGTGCCAAAGTCATTTTTGAAAATAGCCTTTAGGCTCCTAAGCCACTTATGTGTGTCAGAAAATATTGCCCCTTTTCTGCTACCTTAACCAAAGACCTTCTTGCCTCCTTACTTAGTCTAGCAATAATTTACAGGCAAAAGACAGCCTGCTGGCAGGATCCGGCCTGTGGATGCTGCGGGGAGCCCCAGGCAGGCTCCCAACTTACTTTATCCCACCTGCATGCCGCTCAAGAACTAGGCTGTGGGGTGGTTTTTCTTTTAAAATCTGTGAGTCTGAAGGGGAGGGGGAAAGCTTCAGGAGCTCCCGCCACCAGCACAATTTCATTGGCTGGTTTCTGTCCAGAAACTGGCCAATGGGAGCTGCCTGTTTCAATAACAGGCAGCCACTGAAGCACAGGGGCTCCAGAACATATGGCTGCTGCTTGGGGAGTCGGGGGGGGGGGGGCAGGCAGCAGTGTTCCTTCTAATCTGCACACAGCTTCACGGGATTAATCAGCCCCATCCAGTCAGAAGCTCAGAGCCCCATGCACAGAGCTGACTGACTGGGTGGGGCTGATTAATCACCTGGGAAGTTGCACTGCTGTTCAGCTAAGAGGGAACACTGGCTGGCAGGGAGGCTGATTTGGGAACAGCTGCTGGCTGGTAAGTCTCCTGGCCAGTGCCTGCCTCTGGCACCACAGCTCCTCCTTTCCCCAACCCTCTGCTCCCCAGTGCAGTCCTGTCCCCTACTTCACACCCAAATCCTCTGCCCCCCCTCCTATACTCATCTCCCCTCTCTGATCTGGCACCCCAGTCCCCTGCC